TCATCATTTACCCAGAATGCTTTGTGTGCAAATAAAATGGCTCCGTCCGTGTTAAAATATATATTTAAACTTTTAGTTTAATTATTGTAAAAACTAAACATCCTACAGTATTTTCACAGTTAAAATATATGTTTATTAAATAAAGTCTAATGTTAAAACTAATCAGGGATCCCTTTAAGGCGTGCACTCATCATGAGACAGTCCATCTCTGCAGCTGCCTTCTGCTCCAACACGCTTCAAATATGACAATGTTTTTTAGAAGATGTGGTGTGAATTATTTATCATAACTCTGGTTTTAAATGGTAACTGGCTTTATCAAGCCTGCGGACTCCAAAGTTCTTCACACACACACACACACACACTGATGGTGGTAATCCAGAGTGTAGCCACAGCTGTCCTGGAGCACACAGGCAGAGGTGAGGCTGTCATACACTGACACCACCGGACCCTCTGACCACCACCAGCAGAGACAGACTGAGTGGGGWTTCAAACTAGTAACCCACCGGTCACAGGAAGACCCTACCTCCTGTTCCACTGTCACCATATTTTCCTTGTCCTATCAACACAGTTTTAAATCTGGTTTTTAATTTAGTTTTTAGTTTGAAGTGTGTCCTTTTGACACTTGTGGTGTCTGATCTTTCATGTTCCCAGCTCCTGAGCATGGTGGATCTGCTGCACAGCTTCTGTCCACAGTCTGCTGGAAACGTTCCCTTTAAAACCAAATGTCTGAATTTATTATTGCCCACTCATAATCCTCAGAGCCAGAGTTTGGACCTCAGAGCAGTATTTGGTGATAGCACTAAGACGTTTGACAAAGCCATGTCCTGTCAGTTTCCTGGAGTTTGCAGACAGAATGTGGAGTTAACTTCATCCTTGTCTGTATTCACACGGAGCTGTTCAACACACAGTCAACATGTTCCTGCAGCAAATGTTTTTGCCAGAATTAATTGAAWACAACCATTTTAAGAGTAAATAATAAACAAACAGTTTTTGAATAATTGCCCACATATTAACTAAGTCACATTAACTCCTCAGTGTTATGGTGAAGACATCTTGGCATCTCTCAACGAGCTGGAGGATGCTTTGAACGATGTTGGTCCTGTGGAGCGACAGGACGGGCCGACACAGAGCAGCACTCTTCACCTGGAGTGCCTGTACTACCTGAAGACATATGGCACTCACCTGGCTCTCATCAGCTTCTACATGCGTCACGACTGTATGCAGGAGGCTGTGGCCTACCTTCTAGACAAGGTGAGGCTCGGGACGTTGGCTTCATAATGAGGGCAGATGACCAACAAGCCAAAGCTTTAGTTTCTGTTGTTTCTCTGTARTTAAGATCTCAAAACAGAAATGAATTTGGGTTGCTGTGTCCCATCCACTGAACTGGATTCATAATTAAATGGAAGACTTAGCATTCCTTGATGAATGCATATCACCTGCTGCTTTTCAGATCATATAGATCATCTTCAGTGGTGGGCACCAGCCCACTAAAGCACAAATCTGCTAACTGTGGACCTAAATATTTCATTTGCTCTTTAGCGGTCTTACTAATTTTTATAATTCATAAGCAGATTTTTGTTTTCTAAATTTAAAAAGCAGTACCACTAATAACTAATTATCTACCAGTCATCATTATGTTGAACAGCAGAAGGTATGACTGTCAATGAATCACAACACATGTGATCTATCCAACAGCACCCCTCCCAGATAAACACTTATTGTGAAGGTATACATCCTGCTGACTGTTGGTT